CCTTCTTCCTCGTCGCTCGCGCACCCCCCTAGTGTCCTCGCCATGTTCACTCGCAACTAAGAGCCCGCACCCGCACCCCCACCCCATCGCCGGCTTGGCGTGCGCCCACGCCCGAACCGCCGCTCGACACGTGGGGCAGCCACCCATGGTATCATCCCATCACACACCGATACCCGCCCTTATCATCGCCGGCGTCGTCTTCAACAGCCTCCCTCTTGCTTCAACACTCCACATGAAGATTGACCATGATCGTCGTACGTAGGAGGATCGTCCCTTCATCTGTCTCTCATTTCCCTTCGTTTTCGTCGTTAGCCGCCGTTGGACCACTCCCGACCCAGTCGTGATTGGCAGCCTCAACAGCATTCTTCAACGCCGCATTGTGAGCGCACACCATCCCGCAGTCGACCCATTCCGGGATGCAGTGCAGATACTCTCCCAGTGTGATGTGTGGCTTCCCAGGCGATCCAATACGATGTTCGCCGTGTCGACGATGTGCGCCTCCAGTTGAAGGTGTAAGAGCCCGCAACAATGAGGGTGGGTTTTGCAGTGAGTGCAGTGAAGTATCCCGCGTCGTAGTGCGAGCGATAGTCGTCACCACCCATTCGTATGATCCACATGCAAGCGCATACAAGATAACGCAGACAATCCGCGAGTCTAGACAGCCTATCGTACTTCAACCTACTGTCGTCCGCCCACTGCCCACAATGCAACGCATCCGTCCAGCGGTCTGCCACGCGAATGATTGTCGCCTCCTGCTGTGCGGCCATGTCATCATCTTCAGGCCCGTCAACAATTTTCAACTCCGCGAAACACAGAGGCACGTCCATCTTCATCTGCAATGTGCAGTAGACGAGCGTCGGGGAGACCACTCTCGACCATTCTAAGCCTTGCCACACAGAACGTGCGATGTCGGTGGCGTAGTCCACAGTGATGTAGGGCTCCGCACGTGCGAAGCCATTTGATATTGATGACGATTTGAAAATCCACCGGTGGATCGCTCGCATCAGGATTCTCTCGACGGCCCTTGCTCTCCACAAAGCCGGATCGCGCTGCGTAGGGTCATTGCTCTTTGTGCGCTGGATATCCGCAGGCGGCATTATGAGCATGGATGGCGGCTCAGCTCCCGAGTCCCCGTTGGTGATGGCGATGAAGTAATCCACGCAATCCGTAAACGCCTCCCTCAACGGTTTGCGAGGACCTTGACCCCAGAATGCGTCGCTATCTACCCACAATTTCGACCTATGCTCCAGATCGTCCTCCGGGCCGTGCTTCTTCAACCTTTTTGAAGGGCGGTTGTCTTCGTCGTTGTCGCTCCCCCGCCTCCCATCCCCTCTATTGTCTTCGCGGCGAACGTCCACTACCCTTCTCTCTTCCCCACCACCACCTAACCCGGTCGCTTTGGGCTGGCGTTCGTCGGGGGGGGGTCATCCCTTTGACCCCACCCTCCCCGCCCCTCGCAGGGGACTTCGCCTTGCCCGTCCCCGAACCGCCCGCCTGTTGCGTTGTCAGCTCTTCACGTGCTGATGATGGCGACGCGACCTGCTTCTCCACCCGCCCCGCCCCAGCAACCGGGATGATCGCACCACGAGCGGCACTCGAAGCCGCACCCCCCGCCGGCAGGACTGGCCTCGGCGACCCATCCCTCGTTGATCAGTAACCCGCCTCTCTTCGGTGTCCTCACTTGGCCGACGATGGCAGCACTTCCGCCAGCCTGTTTTAATGCCGCGACCAGCTCCCTTGGCACACTGTCCCGGCCGAAACCCAATCGCCCGACCATTTGCTGGCCTTGGACGACCGCCACCGCCATGTTCCCCTCCTCTTCGTTGTAATCCGAGTTGTTATGAACTACGATCTTTTTTGTGGAGTTCGCGACGTGCCCCTGTCCTCGCTTGCCTTTCCCCCCCTCTCCTCCTCCGCTCTCTCTCCTCCCCCTCATTGTCGTGTTCCGTTGCGGCATGTGGACGACAGTGCGCGGTCTGCGATGCGAGAGAGCACCACACAGATTGCACGTCAAGCTGAAAGGCTCCGGGTAGACTGCGACACAGAATGGCGGGCGCACCTTCCTTTCGTAGCTTTCGCCGCACTCCAACAAGACACAGGCAAGCGTCGCTGGACATGCACCCTCCCTTTCGTAAAATGCACGCGGACCTTCTTTACCCGTCTAGTGCCTATCCTCGCACGTCGCCTGGGCCCTCGTCGGCGCTCCAACTCACTGTTTTTTTCCCGCCACCACCCATGCGTCGTCCACAACTCCAGCGTTGCATGAAAGGGACAATGTTGTGTGGCGCCTAGTCCCTCCAAGAAGGCATACAGAAAGTTCCTCCAGCCATCTTGCACGCCGACCCGCGCAGTCAGGCCACGTCCCCTTTCCACACCCTCCGAACTCCGCATGAATGTAACACCTCGCCAGGAAGAAAGCCCCCGCCACCGCACCCTGCCTTCACAACACAATTCACAACATCCTGGTCGCGTTTATCTCGGACGAGAGCGATCATATGCTCGACCGACCAAAAGTCTCTGCTTTTGCTTCCCTCGCCTGCTGACTTGTCTTCTTCAGCCTTCTTCCCCTTTCTCCTTGTGCGCGCTTCACTACACTTCTTCGTGGCAGACCGCACTTCCCGTTTCCTCCTAAGTGGACAGATGTCCATTTCGCCGTCCTCGTCTTCTTCCTCATGGTCGTTCGCACCGTCGTCACGTCCGCTATCTTCAGGCCCTCCATAGTCGTTGTCGGCGATTGTATCCTCTTCGCCGACGTTCATCCTCGCCACACCTCTCGTTATGCCGGACGTCGTCGACTGCCTCAAATGTCGCCGCTGATCTTCCCACACCTGTCGTCCGACAACCTCTGTGGCCGACCACGCCTCCTCGTCTCCTTCCCCGTCTGTCGCATTAGCAGGCCTCGTCGATCTGCACGGTTGCGACCCGCTTGTCCTCGTCCTGGACGCAGCCACACCAACACTGCCAACAGCTCCAACCCGTGGCGAATTCGATCCACGATCGCAGGGCAACCCACGCTGGCGCCCGTTGTCGTTTGGTGGAAGCCCACCCGTCCTCCCCGATGGCCTTGCGTCAAAGCTTGTTGAAGCGGGGTTCGCCACAACATTGCACGAGACGTCGTCACAGCTACCCGGCCTCAGACCGAAGCTGAGGTCGACCACCCCTGCGTCGTATCCTGCCGGTGCACGCCCCTCCAGAAGATCGGTGTACGTCGGCGTCGGTGGATGTCTGAAGTGTGGGATCCCCATTCAATCTTCCGTGGAACCGCTGCCCAAGGGAACCGTGGCGGATGGAGGATCGTCGGCTTCGTCGTCCGTCGGAGGCAACGGTGTCTCCCACAAAGGCAGGTGGCTGTACATCGCGGGGTTGTACGGCCGCCTGCCTCCTTCCGCACCCGACAAACGCATTGTTGATGACACCCCCCCCTCCCCAAAGTCGTTGTCTTCTTGTGGACGTTGTTTATCTTCGTCGATGCCTTCTTCGACGATCGAGGCCTCACTCTTCGACGACGACCACGCCTGACAAATCAGACGTTGAAAACGACAACGACGAGCAGCAGCAGAGGCAGCCTGCGAAACAGGTCAGCCATGGACTGCAGGGAAAACGAACTCCGCCACTGGCAGAGGCGACACGTGCGAACACACTGGCGGGACGCAGATGACGAGAGGACGCATTTGTGCATCATTAGTGCATGCAGGGACCACGCGAGGATGGCTGCAATTTCGTAAACATGACCGTTGTGGGGCCCGCCAGCAGCTCAACAGCCCGAGACAAGCTGGCCGAATACGGTTTAAGAGCCGCCCAGAGGACGAACACGGCCGTCGGCCGAATTGCTGCCAACGGTAAGTTCGTGGAGGCTGTTGGAGAACGTCCTTGTCGAGGTGGGGGGTGGGGTTTGTGGGCGCGATGTCCGTGTGCAGGCCGGTGGACCACGAATGGATCACCTTGTGTCTCCAATTTTCGTTGTGGAGTCGTCGCCGCCGGCCCGTGATTCGCGGATCCCCGGGCTCCGAAGGACCTCGCGAGGTCCTTCGGGCTTGAGGACGATTTGGCCAGGAAATCCTCGGAGCCCGAGGATTCGTCCTTGGAGCGTTTTCACATTTTTTGGGGGAAAATCGGCTCCGAGGACAGGTGTAACGATGACGAATTCCTCAAAATCTCGTCCCCAAGGAGTGTCTAACGATGCCCTAACCCTCCCGTCTCCTCCCCCCTCCTCCCCATCCAACCAATGTCTAATCAGGACAGAGTGGTACGTGACTGTTGCAGTCTCGCCACCGCGATGGAGTCCCTTCGTGTGCCTGATGGGATTCCCTTCTCTGACCGTTACCATGCTGAACAGTGCAGTTCGTATATTTTGAGAGAAAAATCAAGTACTCGATGGGGTTGCAATTGACGGGGGAAAAGAAGGGGGTAAAAAAAATGCCATCCGACTACTTGATTTTTTTTAATCTTTTGAATAGCTGCCAATCAAAATGAGTCTTTCTATTTTCTTTTCCCGCCTCCCATTCTTGGGAACTGAAAAGAAAAAGCACAAAAAACAAAAAAAAAACACCACTTCAGAATATAAATCCAGGGCAATTTCGCTGCCATTGAATTCTCCTTCATTAGTGGTCGGACGACGTCCCACAGATGTCCCGCAGGTGTTTGTGGGACACAGTTTACCTTACTCCTTTGCTAGTGGAACCGTGCTCCAGATGGTTCAATTCACGTCAATTCACGTTACAGCGTCGTCTTTTCTTTTTCCTATTTCTTATTTGAAACGGCCCCGTAGGGCCCAAACGTTTCCGCTTTGCTGAGCCTTGTCCGTACCCCCGAAAAATTCGTATATTTGTTTTTCTATTTCTTATTTGAAACGGCCCCATAGGGCTTAAACGTTTCCACTTTGCTGCGCCTTGTCCGTACCCCCGAAAAATGCATCTATTTTTTTTCCTATTTCTTATTTGAAACGGGCCCACAGGGCCCAAATGTTTCCACTTTGGCGAGCCTTGTCCATACCCCCGAAAAATGCGTCTTTTCTTTTTCCTATTTCTTATTTGAAATGGACCTATAGGGCCCAAACGTTTCCTTTTTGCGGAGCCTTGTCCATACCCCCAAAAAACGCGGTGTGACGTACATTCCCGTTTTTTTTTTTTTTTTTTTTTTTTTTTTTTTTCCCCCCCCAAAAAAAAGTAATTGCCATTAGCAGAACAAAGATCAAGGGGAGGCCGGGAATCCTCCACAAACAACCCGGAGACTCGTGACCAAAAAGGAGGACTTAGGTGTTGGTGTTAGAACGACTCCAGCTGCAGGAATGGCCAGCTCCAGACCGCTGCACTGAGCTTCTAACCCAAAAGAAAAGGGAAAAAAAAAGAACCAATCCCTCAAGGCAAAAAAGCCAAACAACCCTAATTGAAAAAAGCAAAACCATAAGGGCCGTACCAGCAAACCTACTAAAAGGAGAAAAAAAAAAAAAACATTCCTCACGTAGGAAAAACCAAAAAATTTGCAAAAGGAAACAATCCAAACCCTACCACCTCAACTGAACAAAAGAAACCTATAACCTATCTACTAACTAAACGGACCATATTTCATCTACATTACTATTCTACGCAACAAGTGGTCTAAATGCGACCACTAGGAACCCCAAGGATCCTGGTAGAGGACGTATCCAGCCCCCAACTCAGTCTTTCCCCCTGCCTGTCTACCTGCGACCAAATCATAACCGAGAGAACCAGGTTAGTGGCTGTACCAAACTTATTATGCTTCTTCCTTAAACAACCAATCTTTCAAGGATAGTCTTTCTGAGCACTCAATCGATGCAATCGTGTTTTGAAGACACAAAGTTTCGCGAAACCATTCCAACCCACTCGGACCTGTAGCAGAGGTAGTCACCTTTCGCCGCCAGTCCGCCAAAATTGCAATCCTGAGATTTCTCAGGAAAGTGGCTCTTACCTGTTTATTGGGCCAATCCTTCTTCTCAAACACTCTATCATTTCGTTCCTGCCAGATAATAGAGATACCCACTGCCCGTATTGTCTGGGCTACATAGCCCCAACCCTTGGTGATAGAAAAACCATCTGGAATCCCTCCCAACAGAACCCACATCTTAGACCACGGGAAGGCTGGGCCCGATACTCTGTCTCACACAGAAATAATCCATTTCCACAGTCTCACAGACCTGGGGCAATCCCACCAAAGATGGATGGTAGATTCGAAAGCACAGCTACATCTCATACATGTTAGATCAATGTTGAGACCATGCTCAGCAAGCCAAACTGCCGAGGGAGTTGCCATAAGGGATAGCAGCCACAGCAGAGTGGCAGCCTGTCGTGGACAGGCAATAAACTTCAACTGTTCCCAGCATTTCACCAGTTTTTTACCAGAGTTTTTTTTTTTTTTTTTTTTTCACTTTTGTACCATGGTTGCCATAAGGGGTAGCATTCCCGTTTTTCCCAGCACTGAGGGCATACTCACAGTCGACTTTTTTACTTATTTCTGGACGGAATTGCGGCGAGATGCGTACAGGTGTCGGCGAAATTACGGTCTGATGCATTCTGAAAAGTGCTAGTGTGAGTATGCCCTGAGAAAGGTAGTGGTGGGGTCCCGCCCTGAAACTCACCGCCCTTTTTGTCTTTTCTTTTCACCGCCATCCTTTTGTTTTTCTTTTCTTTTCTTTTCACCACCATCTTTTCCAACTGTCCGGGACTTGTGGTTGCAGCACTCGACAACCGCAAACATTTTGAATGCATCTGGACAGCCGTGCTCTCCATATGCAGTCAAAATCTTTGTGGACGGCGAGGGTGCAACTACTATACTGCTGGCCTTTCAGTGGTGCGGGAGAGGCACCTGAAAAATGGGACAAGCCTATGCGTCTCCATAGCCCGCTGCGCGGCTTTTGCTGTTGGCGGGCATTTGGACAACGCCGTGGTTGCCGTGGATTCGCGCGGGATCGGTCGGTCGGACTCCTCGCGGCCGCGGCGTCTACACTGGGCGCGCGAGGCCAGGATCTTGGCGCACATTTTCACGGGGATCTTGCGCGCGTTTTCGCGGCGACGGGCGAAATCTTGGCGGGGAATCTTGCGTGCGTTTTTGTTTTTTTCGTGTTGACGGTTGACCAACATAGGAAGCCGAGGCATCAATCGTCGCGCTTCCATCAGCCTGTAGCTTGGACATCTGCCGGGGGAAAGGTCCCACTTGCACGGATTACGAGATTGTGACCGTTGATCTTTGCTATCTACGGTCAATATCGCTTACTTTGTGTAAGTGGGACCTAGCCCCGGGGCAAAGGTCCTACTTGCGCAAATGAGGAGATTTCGGCCGCTGATCTTTGCTATCTACGGTCATTAGCTCTTAATTCGTGCAAGTTGGGTGGGACCTACGGTAGCCCCCGGCCGTAGTCGCGAGATTAGCATTCAATGAGCGCGGAGAAGCGCAAAGATCAACCGCAGAGATTAGCAATCAACCGCCGTGAGATCACCCAGGCACTTGAACGGCAGATGAAGCTGAGCCATCAATCGCCGCGAGAGGCGCTTGCCATTCCCAATGAGCGCACTGCAGCGCAGAGATCGCCCGGGCCAAGGTCCCACTTGCGCAAACTAGGAGATTTCGGCCGTTGATCGGTGCTATCTACAGTCGATATCTCTTAATTCGTACAAGGGGGTCTCTTAATTCGTGCAAGTGGGACCTAGCCCCCGCTTGGTGATCTGCCGTAGTCGGCCGATCGCCGACGAGAGCGATTGACACGTCAGCCTGTAGCTGAGGGGTGATGTGGTGTCGGAAGCGGTCGGGTTGGTGAGCGTCTGGTTGGGGGCGGGGGGGGGCGGGGCGGGCCGGGGGGGAGCGGAAATGTGGGTGAGAAAGGAACTGGCGGGCATAACTGTGAGGTGGTGTCGAAGAAGACTGTTGAGGAGGAGCTGGTCCGTCGATATACACACACAATCTGTAGTGTGAAAGCGGCAGACGGGAGGAGAATAGGGAGGAGGGGGAGGAGGGGAAAGCGGCAGAGGGGCTGGTAGGAGCGCGTCGCGAGGCGCGAAGTGTTGACAGTAGATGCAAGCACTGGTCGGGATCGCACCGGCTTGGGCGACACGTTTTTCCCTAACCTTTCGGCCTGCTCATGTTGAGCTGGCATTTCCAACGACCACATTTTCCCGCACGAGGTAGGATAAATCTGGAAGAGAGAGCGGAGGAGGAGGAGGAGGAGGAGAAGGAGGAGGTCTGGGTCGCACAGGCATGGGCGGCATGTCTTACCTCCCTTCCTAGCTGCTCATTTTGAGCTCGCATTGCACTAACACGTCTCCCCGCACGGGGTACGAGAGAGGTGGTGGTGGAGGAGGAGGGGAGGCCCTGGGGGGTTCTCAAAATTGTAGCTACTGTTTACGTGGCGGCCTGTCTCCCTGCGCTCCCTCCTCACGCGTGTCACGTTCTCCGTCTCGGCCTCTGCTGACTCGGACGGGTCTGATCAGCGCATTTTGCGGAGGCAAAGGGCAGGGGACACGTGGTGCCTGCGCGCTTGTGCTTGAGCGAGGCACGTGTCAGGCGCCCGCCGATCACTGCAAGTCAGTACAAGTCACTCCCTCGCGCTTCCCAGTAAGCCGACTACTACCTAGCAGGATTTCCGCTATCATCGGTATCATCGGCCACGAACGGGATAGTGAAGATGGGGATGCATAGTAAGGTAAAGCTCCGCAGCAGGACGTGGCCGATCGTAGGGATTGTCTTGATTACCGCGCTGCATACCGGTCTCCGACTTCCGACGAGAGTCCAATTAAAGGAACGTGGAGAGGTTCTGGGTATCCTGATCACGAAGAAAGCAGCCATTGAAGAGAGACCGGCAAGCGTAATCACCGACCCAGAGAAGAGTGACAGATTGCTAAAGGGGGGAAGAACCATCGGTAAAGGGGCAATGATTGCATCTGGCGGGAAGCTTCAGCGAGGGGAAGAAAGGCGGGAAACTGACAGCGAAGCGCGGCGACGAGAGGTAGGCGGAGCAGCAGCAGCTGCGACGGCAGGTAGGCACGAGCAGCGAAGGCCGAAGTTTCTGGTCGAGGCGGACGAGAAAACAAAAGGGATGGTGGAGGGATTGGGAGAGGGAGGTGGTTCTCAAGATGATCGGCAGGTGCGTGTAATGGGCGATGTATTCGTGCCGTCGTCGGCGACTATCTCACAGAGTCGACGGCGAGGGGATGAGGACGATGGTGGCCACAAGGTGCGGGAAGGAGGTAGTATCGAAGTCGTTGGGAAAGAGGGTCGGCAAATAGACACCCCTCTTCGGCAATCGTCTGAAGCTGAAGTTGCTGCTGGAGATTTTCGAGCGTCGCCAGCGAAAGATGGACGGGAATCAATCCGCAAGGAAGGGGGGGGGGCGCATCCCGACCAGCCGCACCGAATGATTCTTCTTAATGTCCAGGGGATTGGCAAGGAGGAAGCAAGTGGAAGTCTCGCTCCAGGATCCCAGGCGCAGCCTGCGCCGGCAGATGCGGAGCGTCGGCGGGTTCAGGCCTCTGGCGACCGTGGGGATGTGGCCATCGTCTCTCGTTCCGCCGCAGCAGCAGCAGCAGCGGGAAGAGGAGGAGGAGCAGGGACTAATGTTGCTGTACTTGGTTCGCATGACCAGCAGCAGCAGCAGCAGCGAGAAGAGGAGGGGAAGGATGGGGGGAAGGAGGAGAAGGGGAAGGAAGGGGGAAAGGAGGAAGGGAAGGAAGGGCGGAAGGAGGAGGAGGGAAAGGAGGTGATCGGAGAGACGAAGAGCTATGAGTGCACTACCGGTGATGAAATGCGGCCGTATCTCGAACGCATTGCTGTTGACAAGCTGGTAATCATGTGCACGGTGAATGCTGGTTATCGAGCGCTGTTTCTAAACTGGCTGGTGTCTGTGCGCAACGTGGGGCTGGCAGACCGAGTGCTGATCTTCGCTGAGGACGTCGACTCCTGGCGGTACGTGCAGGAGCACTGGCCCGGTCATGTCGTGCTTCTGTGCGATCCCGATGCAGAAAAGAGCGGACGGAAAGTCGTCCAGGTGCAGAATGAGGCGGAGCCCGCTTTTTGGTTCAACCACGAAGACTATGGCAAGCTGGTGGGCAGACGGCCATTGCAGATTCTCGCGTGCTTGCGCCACGGGTACTCTGTGCTGTACAGCGACATCGACGTCGTGTTCATGAAGAACCCTCTTCCATACCTAGTGCAGGACCTAACAACAGTAGATAGACGAGGAAGAAGAGAAGAAGTAGCAGTCGTAGTAGGAGGGGGAGGGAAAGGAGGAGGAGAAGGAGCAGTAGGCGGAGGTAAAGGAGGAGGAGGAGGAGGAGGAGGAGGGAGGAAGGATCTAGATGGTGCGGGAACGTGGGATGGGGGTGTTAGTATGAATTATTTCAATGGAACAGATGAGTTTCCAAAACGTCCAGAGTATTTGTACGTGTGCTCTTGCCTTCTGTATTTCCGACCGACGGAAGTTGCAAAGAAGATTCTTCGGCGATGGATCGCTCGGTTAAAGGAGTCCGATCATTCTGTCAATCAGCCTTCGCTCAATAAAGCCCTTGATGACGTGCGAGGAGAGACAGAGTTGCAGTTCAGAATACTCCCTGGTAAGTTATTCCCTGGAGGATACACGCTGCGGTATCCGGAGGACAAGGCGCAATGGTTAGCACTTGGAGGTGGGGATCCCGTCACTTACCACGTGAATTTTTTTTACGGAATTGATGAAAAAATAGCAGGATTTAAGAACTATAGCCTTTGGCTGCTCAACGATACTGCGAACGGACAGCCAATCCTCGACTGGCCGTTGTAGAGGGAAAAAAGGCGAGCGTGCGTTTTCTTCTTCTTTTTTTTTTTTTTTTCTTTTTTTTTTTTCCCCGACAGGCGACGATTATAGGAGTAGAAGCGTGCGATTTCTGTACGTAATGACGTCTAGATTTAGCTTGGGGGTGAAAGGTTATATGCTGGGTGAAAGATTTAGGCTCGGGGGCGATAGGTTTTAGGTTTGGGGGGGGGGGGGGGGGCGTAAGATTTATTACCCTTCGTTCGATTTGTTCGGGGTCAGAAGATGTCGTTCGTTCGATTCGCTCGGGCTCAAAAGATCTGGACAAATGACGCGACCAGTCGTTCGATTCGTTCGGGCTCAAAAGATCTGGACAAATGTATTTTCTGTTTTTTTTTTTTTTTTTTGTCGAAAAAATGTATTCTACGTGTTGGAGGATGGCTAGTGTTGCCACTAGAGCCTGTGTAGGTACTGGCCAGATCCACGGCGGGTAGGCGAGTTGCACCATTATAGCTATCAGCCAAGATTTTGAATGCATGTGGACAAATTTCACGTCTACATGCATTCGATTTTTTGGGCGAGTGTTGCCACACGGCGGGTAGGCGAGTTGCACCATTATAGCCGTCCGCCAAGATTTTGAATGCATGTGGACAAATTTCACGTCCAGATGCATTCGAGTTTTTGGGCGAATGGCCAACTAGAGCCTGTGTAGGTTCTGGCCAGATCCACAGGGGGGAAACGTTTCGGATGCTCTCCTGATGTCAACTGTTTCTTTTTTTTTTTTTTTTTTGGTCTTGTCAACTGGCTTGAGCGGCCGCGCAGAGTTCCTTGCTTTTGTTTTCTTTCTTTCTTTTTTTATAGTTTGAAATTGCAGTTCGGGCAATGTATAGAACCCAGCTTTCTGGCCAGGTACTAGGGTGCCCGAAGTGCAATTGCAAACTGTATCTTGCCCCATATATAGTGCAAATTATTATAACTCATTTTTGTGACTCTACTGAAGTTACGCATTTACGGAAAAGTGGCACAACTTTTTTTTTTTTTTTTTCCCGACAAAGGGCTCACCCTTGATTCCCATCAGGGCCGATTCCTTGGCTGAAGAGGGAAAAACACATAACAAACGAAAATAAATTTGAATACCAATTTGATGGGCCTTTGATTAGACAATTAGGATGCACCTGCCAACTTCCGTGCTCTTCATCTGGTCTGGATGCTGACTCTGGATTTCGATCTTGCTGAGACTGGACTCCCATCTATGACGTCACTCGAGGCTTCCTTTCATTGCTGAACCTGGATTGGATTCCAATCACGCCGAATCTGGATTCCCATCACGCCGAATCGGGATTCCTATCACGCCGAATCTGGAGTCCCATCACGCCGAATCTGGATTCCCATCACGTGGATGATCGTGCCACCAAGATTGTGAATGCATATCAACGAGTTTGACGTCCGGAGGCATTCAAATTTGGATTCGAAGCATGCCGATGCTGGACTCCAACAATGCCCCGAATGCATATCGATGGATTTCGTGTCCAGATGCATCCAAAATTGTATTCCGATCATGCCGACGCTGGACTCGGATGATGCCGAATGCATATCTATGAACTTCATGTCCAGATACATTGAAAATTGGATTCCAATCATGCCGAACGTGGATTCCAATTATGCGAACCTGGATTCTCTTATCATGCCACCAAGATTTCGAGTGCATATGGATATATTTCATGTCCAGGTGCATTCAAAATTGGATTCCAATCGTGGCCGAGGCTGGATTCCAATCTTACCGACCCTGGACTCCGATCGTGCCGAAGCTGGCTTGGCACCGGGTGTTTCGTACTCTCGTCGCTTCCTTAGTTGAACCGGGAAACAATTTAAAATATTTATATTGTATATTGTCATTAAAAGAAAGAATAATGCAAACTAGGTAGTAAATCTTATTGGAGGCCTTTAGATTGACCGACCCTGGATTTTTTTTTCGACTCTACCGAACCTGGATTCAAATCTTTTCGATCCTGGATTTGGACTCTGCTGACCCTGGGGCAAGGTCCCACTTACACGAATTAAGCGATATTGACCGTAGATAGCGAAGATCAACGGCCGGAATCTCTTAATCCGCGCAAGTGAGACCTTGCCCCTGGATTTGAACCTTGCCCACCCTGGATTCCTATGATGCCGAAGCTGGATTGCCATCGTGTGTTTTGTACTCTCGTCGCTTCATTCGTTGAGAAGGGAAACACTTTAACATCGTTGCTGCAGGCCTTTTGATTATTAGGCCTTTTGACTAGGCCTTTTGATTATTAGGCCTTTTGCTTAGGCCTTTTGATTTAATTTAGGCCCTTTGATGTCTTTCGGACTACATGCACGCCATTTACTTGCAGCCATAGCTCTACTTTTTTCTCTCTGTTTGGCTACTGTCGCCCTCTGGGTCATATCGATGAATCAGATGTCTTTTCGGGCTCCGTGGGGTCTCTCTATCATGCCGAAGCTGGACTGTCATCGAGTTTCTTTACTCTTGTCTGGTCGCTTCTTTATTTGGAAAGGGAAACACTTAAAGGTCAATTAATAAACATCATTATAGGCCATATTTGATTCCAGCCCTCGAATGAGTGAGTTGTTGGGTGAGAGGGCCGAAGTAAACAAATGAAAGTGCTCTGAGACTCTACATGCACGCCATTTACTTGTAGTCATAGATAACTCTACTTCTTTTTCTATCTGTTTGTCTGTTTGGCTACTGTCGCCTCTGGGTAATACTGATGATTTTTTTTCAGACTACGTGGTGTCTCTATCTGGTTGTTGCCTCTCTCTCTCTCTCTCTCTCTCTCTCTCTCTCTCTCTCTCTCTCTCTCTCCCCTGTGTGGTGTTATGCATGTGGTGTGACGATACTTTTGGACAATGTGAGGAATGCTGGTGCAAGCTTCAATGCGGATGTGCCTGCCAACCTTCTAGTGCTCTTCACCTGGTCTGGATACCGACCGTTGATCCCGTGAGGTTCGGTTTCTGCCAGCCTTAGGACATTTTTCTTACAGGAGAATTTTTCTACTACGCTCTAGACGTGATTGCAGTCAGATTCATCCATGATTGGCCGGAATTGCAGTGAGATACACCTAGTGTCAGTGTGAGGATGCCCGTAGTGCCGCTTATCTTGTGTAGACCCCGATCCGGTCTACGGGAGTCTGCATCCCTATCAGGTTTCGTTCTCTGGTCGCTCATTGAGTTGAGTGACAGCACGTATGGCAACATCCTCCCTTTTTTTTTTTTTTTCCCAAATCATCTTGGGGCAGTGTCTGGAGAGATGATGGGCCTAATAAAAAAAAAAAGAAAGGAAAAAAAAAAGAAAAAAAAAGAGATGATGGGCCTCACTCCACTGCTGTGTACCAAATGTGCAAATTGAGAATGAATCTTTCTTTAGAACATGGAAAGATACACAGCCCCATTTTGTATTTTGTGCATGCGCAGAATAACGCAGCGAGTCGTTTCAATCATTGAGCTGACCGGCCCGGCCCCAAGCAAAATTCATTAGTAGTTGGTTTTACTCATCAAGTTCCATCATCTGGATTCGAACACAGCACCTGGTCTGTATTTCAAAAGTTCATGGGTGTGGTCCCCACTGAGCTAGGCTCTCGGGTAACGCAGGAGTTTTCCTTCTCTGCTTATAGTTGCAACCTACGATCACGACAGGGGCGCACTTTTTTTTTTTTTTTTTTTTTTTTTTTTTTTTTTTGGAAAGCTTATGTCGCTGTTGCTCAACAAAGAATGAGGCCGGGGCGCACTTTTTAGAGAGAGAGTGACTCAGGGGCAAACACTTCGACCTACTAGCAACCGCGCCACATGGAGCAGTGAGAGTGTACTGAGCGGCGGTGGGAAGGTTACTGGTCCTGTGGTAAATGCGAACCCGTGAAGAGCAAACTTTAGTTTTTAGTTGTTCATTCCCCTCCCCCCCCCCCCCCAAAAAAAAAAAAAAAAAAAAAAAGACTTTAGTTGTTCCCAATGGCATTGCGATCAATATGCCAGGAAGATCCAAGGGAGCGTGGTGGGAAACCCGTCATGGCAGGGGGCTCCGCTTTACAGGGTGGTTGGAAAGCCATAACCCTGATGGAGACGACCGTCTTCCCCCGAACATAACGCACCCTGAAAATGAACGTATACAAGGTATGTTTCCGGCCCGATACAGGCAAAAAATGGGGTTGCGTTGTGTTCGGGGGAAGACGGTAGGGGATTTTGTTGCTGAGATATTCTAGCTGGTGCATGCATGACTTTGTCTCGGTTCCCAGGTCTTTAACAGCAGATTGGTTCTTGTTGATCAGATATACTATGCTATGCAGAAAAATAAACTGAACAACGTCTGCCTCAGGGTCACATCGAAATTCTTCACCAAATTTAGAATAAAAGTTTTCTTGTGAATCTACTTACTGTAACCCGGGGCAAGGTCCCACTTGCATGGATTAAGAGATTCTGGCCGTTGATCTTTGCTATCTACGGTCAATATCGCTTAATTTGTGTAAGTGGGACCTTGCCCCCGATAAGGTAGTATGTATGGGTAGCGGCACTACGGTGGCAGTGTGAGTGGTGATACCGCTTAATTTGTGTAAGTGGGACCTAGCCCCCGATAAGGTAGTATGTATGGGTAGCGGCACTACGGTGGCAGTGTGAGTGGTGATACCGTCAGGGGTGGGGACGGTCCTTGCTTGTAGGTAGCATATATGGGGTAGGAAGGAGACTTGTACTGTATCCATAGTGATCTTGGTCCGTTGATTGATTGATGTTGTCACTGAAGATCCCATGGTGCGTGGTGGGAAATCCGTCGTGGCGGTTCAGGCTTCCTCGAGTTTACAGATCCGTACTGGGTCTCTTTTCTGTATGTAAGGTCTTGAAGCAAAAGCTGGCTAAGGGTCAGATCCCACTGCCCCGGATTATTCATTTTT